CACTAAGTGCCAAGGCTAGCTTCGAACTTGTGATTTTCCTGCTTCAGCCTTCTGAGTCACTGGGATTACAGGTGTGCACCACTGTGCCCAGCCCTAGTTACATATCATCAGGTCTGTTCTTAGGAAAAATCATCTTCTTCCTAATAGGATATTCTCATATTGATGCCTAGAAATGCAAACCAACATTCTGCCAGTCACTTCTCCATATCTTCAAGTTCTGTATCTGCAGATTCAACCAGCCAAGGATCAAAAAAATTTGAAAAACAAAAACTGTATATGTACTGAACACAGATATACTTTTTTTTGGTCATCATTCCCTAAACAATATAGTACAACAACTATTTATGTAGCCTTTACACTGCATTAGGTGTTATGAGTTATCTAGAGGTGATTCAAGTATGTGTAAGGATGTCCACAGATTATATGCAAACACTATACTACTTAATACTAGGGACTTGAGCATCTGTGGATTTTGATATACACAAAGTGTCCTGGAAATAACTTTCTGTGGATACTAAGGAATATATTTCCTTTTTACAGACATCATTGTGCTTTCATCTTATGTCAAATAGTACTTATAACATGTTCTGTTTTTCTTGGCTCTGATCAGTCTAAGTCAAGTAGAAATCCTAGGCTCTCTTCCTTTAATGGCCCCAGAGTATTCCCTCTGAGAAAACTGAGAACAAAGAAGCTATGCCATTATGTCAAGGAAAGGCAAGTTTTGCTACTCTCAGGGCAATTCCACCCTGAGAGTGGCAACTATAAACACCATTCACAATCAACAAAGGTGCTTCCAAGGACCCCAACACCCCCGGCCACTACAGTCTTCTGGGGACATGGATTCCCCAGTCACGGACCCTGTGAATCACAGACATCAAAGTTATAAAACAGCTAACCATGTATGTGTTAAAAATGCTTTCATGAGAGGACTTTCTGTCCTCTCATGAAAGGAGGGAAGGAAAGAAGGAAAGGCGGTGGGGAGAAAGAGTCAGGATTAATGATACTCAAAGAGAACCTCCAGTGTCTGAAATAAGCACAGTACTATTATTAAATGTGTACTTAGTGGTTAATGGTCCATTGGTCAAATGAATAAAATAATGAAATATTAACTCTTTTGTAATTTGCTTTTTGCACCTAGGCACAAAGTCTTTTATTTATCTTCCTCTCTGGGCATTTGTTTTCTGTCTTCACCGTCTTTGGCAACAGTATCAAATAGAAGTTTCAAAGATGACTTCTGTGTTACTGGTAAACACCAATAACAAACTAAATCACAAATGCCCCACTCTTCTGTTTTTCCTGATTAAAATGTCTCAGCTCAAACCCTCTCTGCCTGCTTTACACCTCATTCTTTGGATTGTTTGCTTATTTGGGTTTATACTTTCAAACCAGCTAGATTCCTTCCCACTTGAATCACAGTCCCACTTCTGCACAGTCTACAACTGCTGAGGTCCAGGAAGATATCTTCAAAGGTTGTGCATCAAGGGAGCTGAACCCAGGTGTTCTTCCATTGACCTACACAGATTGATCACTTTACTTCCCTGACTCACAGGTTTCAGTAAGGAAGTCCTGAATTTTACAGTGCCCTTTTCACAAACACCTGTAAGTGATTTTAATTCATGCCCTCAATTGTTTGCCATTCACAACATACTTACAAAGTCCATCAATATAACACAAATGTAAAACATGTCCTAATCTTGGCACTTTCCATCATGCTTAGATTTATTGCCCCTCCTTCCTGTTCCACACCAACTTTCCTTCTTCTATACTGAGTCCACACTTCTCCTGCCTCTTTCAACCCCCCACCTCTCTTTCTATGTCCTTCTCAGTAATGGTATGAATCCTTAAAATAACCATCTATTGGTCAAGGAGCAAATCATCTTTCTTGCCTCATGAAACCCTTATTGTAAATTACTTGCACATCTTAATCTTAACCTTCTTCTGAGGGGACTCATTCATTGCTTTGTGCATCCACGTGGGGACCGCACACTGAAAAGCATTCATGTTTCAAGTTCTTCACTCAGGGCTGCGCAACTCACTAAGCATGAGAGGAGACCTCACAGACAGGTAGTGGATAGAAGACAAGGAGCAAGATAAGTGAAGGGTTCCTGCTGCTCTCTTTCTTCAGATTATGAGACTGATGGCTTACCTACTGAGATAGCAAGGCACCTGCTGCTCTGTTCTTCAATGCTGACACTTCAGTGTTACATGAACACCAAGATAATGGACCAAAGTGGATCATACCTCAGGATAATTCATTTGAACCCCTTTTTGTCTATGGTTGTATGTACGGATATTAAACTCTAGAAGTAAAATAGGATTCAACTCTTTGCAATTTAAAAAATGTTAAACATTTAAGAAAAATTAAATGTTTCCCATTTGTTGATAGGGTAACCATCACATGCAATTCATTGAACAAATATTTAATGAATGCCTTTTATTTAAAAGCACTTCTGCCAGTTGCTGGGAACACAGAAGACAAGATAGAATCCCTTTCCTTAAGAACTCTGAATTGAGTGGGGATTCAATTAAGTAACAGAAGTAACAACACTGTTGAAAGTGCAAGCACAGGGAATACATTTAGGGTCCAGTCAGGGTGCAGTAGTCTCAGCATACTAGGTCATATTTAAAGGCTAGATATAAGCATCAGAAATGAGGCAAGGGACTCAGCCTGATTCTATGGGGGCTGCACAGCACAGTCCTGCTGGGGATATAATCTAAGGACAGAAATAAAGATGACTCAGGATAAGGCAAGCTCTCCAATCAAGTGTTCTGAACAATACCAGAACCAGGAGATCAGAGCTCCACAGAAAAGAAGGGGGTTCAAGAGGAGGCGGGTTCCTTACCATGGACACATGGTATGGAAGGTATTCTTGCCAAAATACCTGAACAGAGCTATAAAAGGACAGCAATGGTCAGATTACAGAAGAAAAATCATAGGAAACAAAAAGAGAGGAAAGACTCGGGAAGGCAGTTTGGGATGCCTAAGCTTCATAGAACAACTCTGTCACATATATGTAAAATATATTACTACAAGGTACAGTGTAAAGAATTCTAAACTAGTAGCCAAGAGACCTATTACTGGTAAGATTATCATTCTTTCAAATGAAGTGGGTGGACAAGAGCAGGATCCATGCATGAGCTGGGAAATCCATCTAACAGCTTACAACCAGCATTCATTTTCTTTACTTTCTTAAGTGAAATAAAACAGAACACAACACATTCTGCTATGTGAATCACTCATAAGGAAAAACATTGTTTTGTGAAACATTCACTTTAAATATGTAGCACAGTGCTTGATCAAGATGTAAAACAAGTTTTTTTTTACTGTAGGATCCAAAGTCTGAAAAGAACTAGACCAGAGAACTTGTAAGTTTTCTTCAAATTCTAAGATTCTCACTTATAGCCACTAAATTCTAACCTATTTTAGTTGAGAATCACAAGCAAAATTTGGAAATATCAGAGAGCAAAGTTTGGGAATACCATAAGATAATTCAAATCCAAAACTAAAGATGACAGAAGACTTCAGGAAGTTAACTATGCCTTACATATGAGGCAACTCAGACACACCTACTTGCTCAGGGCAAGGGTTCTTTCGAAAATCTTTCATTTTAATGCTACAGAAACTTTTGAATAACATACTCAAAGTAGAATTTTTATGTTTCACTTAAAAAAGATCTAATGCCAACCAACCTTACATTTTAATACCTATTCCAATGGCAAATTCTAGCAATCTGCACATACTTTTGAAACCCTTTCCTGAACAGGTGGCTTTTAACTACTTGTGGATTCTGACTCAATACATGAGCATATGATAAATTCTCATTTGCCTAAACCAATTTCCAAAAGCTATATACTCTAAATGAGGACATCCCATCAGGACTTCAGAACATGACAAGCCATTTCCCAGAAAGGCAATGGGTAATTTATGAACCTATGTATAAACACAAATGGAAACAAAATCATTAACACTGGCCATGCTTATGAGTTGAACAAACAAGCTTTAGATAAGAACTATAAAAAGGTCTACAGCAACACAGTGCCTATTGTGTTTATTCTGAGGACTCTTTCCTCTGAAGAAAACCAACCTCTGTATAGACATGACCTCAAGTATCTTCACCAATTACTGCTGAGGTAGGTGAGAAAGGTGACTGACATCTAAACTGGAGCACAAGCAGGTGACCTGATTTGGCCACAAAACTCAGGTTTTTGCTTGTGTTACCAGGTCTAGCCCCTAAATCATGAACCCAGATTGTGCCTGGTACATAAAAAGGCCCTCAATACTTTCCAGTCCTTCCATGAGTACTAATTCAAGGTCAAGACATTCCCCACCCCTGTATGATTCAAACTCATTCTGGGCTGTTTACTGAGGCTCTATGAAAGGTGCCAGGTCACCAGCTAACTTCCTGTCCAAACAGTGCCAGCTACTCTGCTCCACTGGGAGGCAAACTCTTCATACCATCCGACCCCCCAACTGTCTGTAACGCTGCCCAGGCTTTGCTCCAAGGGCACACTTCACAATCAGAAAGTCTTCGAGGCCATCCCATCTGGCCTCCTGTTTCACGTGGCCGAAACAGAGGTCTAGAGACTTATGTCTTGCCCAAGGTCACTTCTGCCTAAGGACCTTCAGTCTTGATGGCCAGCTCATACAAACTAAGCACGAAACAAGTTGGTTCTCTTTGCCCAGTACTTAGACGTCCCCACGCCGCCACTTGCGGTGGCCAGAGCCACAAAAGACCCAGCCCCAAGACCTGCGGCACCTGGGCGTGCTACAGCGGCACAGCGCCGGGATCTAAGCTCTCCAGCAACCCGAGTGCTGGCAGGTTTGAAAGAGGGTGAAAACAGGACACGAGTGGGGACGAAATGCGAATCCTCAGCCACCTGGGGTTCTCTACTCGCCCCAGTCGGAGATGAGAGGCCCCTCTCCCTGAAGACCGCCGAGGAGACCCCCACCCGCCTGTCTACTGCTGCAAGCCGGGCCTGGTGACCCCCGCCAGGCTCACCGGGTGCGCAGCGCCTGCCACGCGGCATCGATGTCGGCGTAGAGGTTCTTCTCGGAGGGTTTGCCTGAGCTGACGCCGTAACCCGAGTAGTCGTAGGAGAAAATGTTGCAGTTGATGCGCGAGCCGAGGCCGATGTAGAAGCTGCACATCTGGCCCAGGTCCACGGCGTTGCCGTGAGAGAAAAGCAGCGTGTAGCGGCTGGAGGGCGCGCAGCGCACGAACATGCAGCCGAGCCGGTTGTCCCGGGCGGTGCGCGAGAAGAAGACCTCG